ATTCTCAGTGTAGAACAAAAAGCAATCGTCGGAAACGTGAATTTAGCAAGCAATCGTGACTACTATCATGGTGCTATTATAAGGATTTATATGAGTATAAACAAGGTCCTGTTGCTCCTAAGTGAACATGGGGACCCCTCAGTTTTATTTCAAAATTTAAGTTCTTATAATATAAACAATCAATAGGCAAAGGTTTACAAAAATCTCAGTGTAGGTTCTATTTCAGTGGAATGACCTTAAGACATTGGGTTTCTTCAACAAACTATAAACGTGTACCTGGTGTATCTGACTAAAATCGTACCGCTGAATGATATGGGAGTATAACAGAGCTATGTTTCCAACAGGCTTTAGAAGAAATTTCACTTGAGGACCGCAATCTACAACTGGAGACACTTAAGGGTGACTTACACACAGTTATAGAGGCTATATCTCAAAGTTCAGCTAAACAAAAAGGTAAGGAGCTCCAAGTAAAGTAATTGTCAGTGAAACATCTATACATCTACCAGCGAATGCGCAACTGGAAAAAATCAGACCAACTTGTTGTGCATCTACTCGGTGTCGAATAATAATTTTTATTATTGCATGGTTTATAGATCTTGTCTCACTGTACTTATATCATGTCCTCTGCAGAACTTGAAGGAGAAGTGAAAACTTTGACCAAGAACAAGTCGGAGCTACAGACATCGTTGGATGAGTGGAAGGTTATACAGATTAGCAGTCTTTTTGCGTTATTTTTAAAATGTGTCTTCTGGATTTAGTTTCTGTTTGCCTGCTTTCAGTAGTTTAGCAGCCTTTTCGATCAAGGTAGTTGAAACTGATGGAAAGTGCTCAGCTACCGTTATAATACTTACAAAGTTATGGACGGAAATTGAGTTATAACCCAACGTTATTGAAATGTTTTTGTGATGAAAAGGCAGCCTGAAAGTGATCAAGTCACAAGAGTCAAAATGAGCGAGAAACCAGCTCACAACAGATACAAGTCAACTTAACAATTTATTGAACCTTAACTTGTTAGAACATCGAGAAGCTAAAAAGAGATGCCATTGACGACGATGCCAAACACATGGAGAAAATAGCTCACAAGAGGAGTCTACTTATGAAAAAAGTAAGAATCATTAATGTATGACTGCATCAAGTTGTTTGTCTTATCTTTAAAGATTTCCTCACTTGTATCTTCGTAATAAAAGCCATATCGTTAATTACGTATAATTTGTTTAAAGGAGCTCATTTTCAGCATTTTGAGTTAAATTAACTACCCGCAAAAATACCTTTGAGGGAAACCTGAAAATAGTTGCTTACTGAGAGAGAAAAACACCAAAGAACTCAAAATGAACCATAAAAGAACAAGGATGGTTGAGGACGGAGAAGATTAACACGGATTACAAGCGACGAACTTGAAAAATTTAGCTCCTTTAAGAAAAAACAAAGCATATGGAGGCAGAATGTTGCACCTCTTGTTGTTTGCTTAGATTGCTTTAACGATTTTCGTTTGTCGTTGAGAAAGGAACACAAAGCTGTTAAATTTATTGTGTTTTTTCGGCCTAACAAGACTGATAAAACATAGAAATTAAACGAATAATGAAAAAAGCAGTAACAATAACGACAACCAAAAAGGGAATTTCAACTGTTAGCCCATCTGGATTGAACCGTCCAAGTTAAAGCATCCAAAGACAACAGTCTCTTCTCAGACTTGGGTGCTGAATCAGTCCTGTCATTAACGAAATAACAGGGCGTCTCTTCATAAATGTATGTGCGGCTTAACAAACTGACGTCAGTTTATCATGCGTCTGTTCAGTTATTGATCATGAATTTCGTGAAAACATTGTCAAAGTAGCTGTGGATCCGCAGACTACTTTGACAATGTTATGACGAAATTCATTGTCATTAACAGGACAGACGCATGATAAACTGAGATCAATCTGGTTTTTACGATAACAAATTGTCAAATTGTCCGCTCTCCCTCGTTGACGCATCGCATAAATTATAAATTCATGTCTTTACGCATATTGACAATGAAAATTAGCCAATGAGCGCGCGAAAATTTTGACATAGGAAAGTTATCAGACAGAAAAGAGCGAATTGAAGCTCATGTGAACGTTAAAATGTTGTTTGTTGAATGCAATGGATTTCTTTTTTTCTATTTGAACAGAAAGAAGAATGTACCAAGAAGATCCGTGAGTTAGGCTCCCTTCCTGCTGATGCATTTGAGAAGCATCAAAAAGCTCCTGTCAAGACGGTAAGCTGTAAATGATTACCAACCAACTAAGTCTTTTGTTTCGTTTATTGTGTAAGGGAGAACTTAGAGCGGTTTACATTTGAGTGTTAAAAAGTAATTGGTTTTGCATTACTACGCAACAACATTGGGTTAAAAAAAAAAAACTCGCGCCAATTTTTCATCCAATCAGAAGTAAAACTGAAACGTAATCATAACTCGCTCGCACACGCTTTCCCGCGTATCGCGTCAGCTTCATGTATTTACTTCAAGTTTTGATTGGTTCACTGTATTGACTTTGTCTTTTGTGATTGGCCAGAGTGATTACTTTGGTTTGGTTTTACGACAACTGAAAGCCACTCTATAGAAACTGTTCTGTTGGTATCGATATTCTGTGACCCTAAAAACACTTGCGTGTCCATTTTTAGTCTGTGTAAAAGTTCAACCCTATAGCAAATCTCGGACGGGCTAAACAATGTGTCTCAGATCAGGCGTTTAGAAAGACAGGCTGATTTAATCTTATCTCAAAACTTAGTGAACTTCAAACAACTAGATAACGCGTATTTTTTGTGAAGGGTATTAGTTTCCAAACAAAAAATTCACCCCATAAATAAAGAAGAATGCACACTGGACTTTTTGTCGAAAGGGCGTTCTTTAAACTACGTTTGACACTACTCGAGACATTGTCTAAGTAATTTCGTTTGTCATTGTTACGAGCTCGGACATATAAACATCCCAATACATGGTCTGCCCAGTTGAGCAGTTAATAAAAAGTCATTTTTGCTCTCTTTTCATTTTACTTGTACTTATTGTTAGCTGTGGAAGAAGTTGCACCATTGTAATGAAGAGCTCAAGAAATACAGTCATGTGAATAAGAAGGCGCTGGACCAGTTTGTAAACTTCTCTGAACAGAAAGAAAAACTAATGAAAAGGAAAGAGGAACTCGACAAAGGATACCAGGTAAAGGAATTATTTTCCAATTTGATTATTTTTTCCGTGTCAATCTTCAGATCATCTCAATCACTCGTGCATTTTGACTTTCTCCTCTTTAGTTTGTTATTACCTGTTTGGCGTTTTCTTACCTTAGTTGAGTATCATTTTGAGACTTCGTCCCATAATTATGAAGTCTATTTTGTTCATCAATTAAAATTACAGGAGCTATATCACAGATGAAAGGTTTTGTTAGCTTGTTTAATACAATCCATCCTGGGCAATCTTTGTCTTTGTTAGCCGTCCTTTTTTTTTTTCCCCCTCCGTTTCTTTTTACTTTGGTGTTTTTCTACCTTGGTGGATTTTTGTTTTGAGGCCGTATCCGACCGTTTTAAGAGAGTAGAAGTAAATTGTAATGGCTCAATCCTTGGTAAGGTAACTCCTTCAATTGATATATCGTAGCGTAGCTATTTTGCGCTGAGCGTTTTGAATGTATTCTTCACACGATTGTTTTCTCCAGGCTCTTTAATGTTTTTTCTTTGATTAGTCAATCGTGGACTTGATGGATGTCCTTGAGCTCCGAAAGCATGAGGCGATTCTGTTCACATTCAAACAGGTACTTAGAAAATGAGTGCACAATTCAAACATCAAGCTATGGATCAACTTTCGACTTTAGTTCAACTGTTCTGAGCTCACCAGTTGACTCAACTTCGAATTAGCTTGCAGTTGTACCTCACTACCTGAAGCGGTATTCGTATCACAGAAAATCAAAACAAACGATGTATTTCTTGTTGGGTTCGGGCCCAACTTTGGATCGGGGATGATTCCAACGTCGCTCTATACTTTCATCAGTTGAGTTCAACACGACGGAAATGCGACAGTCGACAGTCGATAGCCCGACGACAATACGACAACACGGAGTAACTACGATAGTAGCAAGATGAACTCCGATGATCTTCCTCGCCCCCAAGGTAGCCCGCACTTCTGTTTAAGGACTGCTTTGTTTTACGCTAGCGAAATCCTACTCTTTGGTTGTTGTACTAAAATTGCGTCTTATTGTGAGAGAATATTTGGGTGAAAGTTACTGTTTGACAACCAACCCAGCATTTAGTCATATTCTCTTGTATACCTTCCAAGTGTAAACCCACAAGTGTTGTTTTTGATTCAGTTTGAACATAGTTTCTTGCTGATGTTGTATGTGTTTATTCTATCAACAGATGTCTCACAACTTCAGTGAGGTTTTCAAACAGCTCGTTCCTCATGGGAAAGCCACTTTGGTAATGAAAACAGATCCAGTGGAACAAGCGGTAAGAGGCACTTAGCCACTTGTTAAACCTCCTCATAGATTATAAAGTCGATGGTAAATTTTTATGAAAAGTAGCGAGTAATCAAAACCCTGGTATATACTATTGACGGGATCCAAGCGCAAATACTGAGAGACACTAACGCGAGCACAAGTAACTTTTGCTGTTGTTGTTATTGTCGTCGTCGTGGTCGTTGTTTGATCCCTGTGTTTGCTCAGGGATCTTAAGCTTATGCTTGTGTTACTGGGAAAAATCAGGATTCTCTGAAGTTAGATGAAGATGCAATCATCTCCTGCAGATCGGTTATTCGTAGTTTCTGCAGTGTATCAGACCTCCCTTTTTTCCACCACAAACAATCACTGATAATGACCCTTTGCGTTTTATCTTGTGTAATAATGGGAAATTAGGAAGAGGAAGAAGACAGCGAGGCATCTCAGTCGCAGTCCCAGCGGTCTGTACCTCTTGTGGATCAGTTCACTGGAATAAGTATCAAGGTAAATAAATATCATCATTATTATAAACACAATTGCTCCGATGGCTCGTCTTATACACTGCTATCTTGCTGAGTATCATGTGAGTTTTCCTCTTTGTTCACAGACAAATAATTGTGGTTTCTTTAAGACCTCAAACCATACCCAGTCTGGTTAAGATGTAAAATTATTAAGCTAGGTTTACAATTCTAGTATGAAAGGAAAGTCATATACCACTATTAAGGTCGCTTTATTTCTCTGGTGTAAACGGGCCGTCATACTTTGTATGCCACTGATGAGCTTACTTGAGAACTCAGACAGCACATTTAAGCTAGATTGAATACTTCAGTGTGGATGTGCAGTTACGGAACAACCTTTAAATTAGCTAGACACTCTAGTGTGAACTGATTACGATATTCTACTGTTTAACTAGTTTTAAAACTCTATCGTCTTTTGGACAATCATACCACTCTGGTATGAACAGTCATAGACAATAGTTAAGCTAGCTTAAAAACTCTAGTGCAAAACGACTACCATGGATCTGTTTGTGTCTTTTGTGTCTCTACTGTAGGTTTCTTTTACTGGGAAGTCCGCTGAGACTCGTGAGATGAACCAGTTATCAGGAGGACAGAAGTCTTTAGTAGCTCTGGCTTTGATATTCGCCATTCAGAAGTGTGACCCGGCGCCTTTCTATTTGTTTGATGAGATTGATCAAGCGTTGGATCCTCAGTTCAGGAAAGCTGTCGCAGGTGTATTTAATACTCCAGCGTAGAATCTCAGATTGTTACTGGCTGATATTAAGGAATTGTACTGTTGGAAACAGTATTGTGGAGTGTAGTGCTTCGAGTTCGATTCGGCTGCGTAGCAATAGAGAAGGGCGGTATTTTTGTGTTCGATTTTGAATGTGGGATTTTAGTGTGGTAATGTTTTGTGTGAGATTGTGACTGTGGGGTAGGCAAAGATACGTTCATGTAGGCCAAATTGCGACTGTGGGACCGGGGTAGGGAAGGGTTGTGTGTTACGCGAAGCTGTGCTGTGCTTGGGGTGGGGGAGCGGAAACTGGAGAGGGGTGGACTAAATATAGTTAAATGAAATTTAACATAGTTAACGACTAGGAGCTAGTCTGGTCAGTAGCGTTTTTATAAGCGGTTGTCAGTGTCTTGGCCGTCTGTGAGCGTTTGGTTAGCGCTTGGTGCGTTTTTTAGCGTTTGATATAGTTTAATGAAATTTTACATAGTTAACGACTAGGAGCTAGTCTGGTCAGTAGCGTTTTTATAGGCGGTTGTCAGTGTCTTGGCCGTCTGTGAGCGTTTGGTTAGCGCTTGGTGCGTTTTGTAGCGTTTGGTATAGTTCAATGAAATTTTACATAGTTTATGACCAGGAGCCAGTCTGGTCAGTAGCGTTTTTGTAGGCGTTTGTTAGTGCCTTGGCCATCTGTTAGCGT